CTTCCAACCCAAACTGTTCTATGGTTAACTTCATGCTCCACGACCACCATCATCCCCATGTTTCCATGCTCCAAACCATCATTGTCTCCATGCTAGCGTGGAGGGTGTGACAGCACCTGAGCTATCACAGGTCACTGCTTCCACAGAGCTCCTACATGACACCAGCCTCGGCACGTGCTGCTCCATCACCGAACCCATGCACGTGCTGTGCTGGCAGAGAAGCAACCTGATTAGAAACAAAGAGTTTTCCAGCAAGCCAGTGCACTGAATTAACTGAGAGTGGGGCTGACAAGAGCAGAGGCTGCTCGGGGGAAGGCTGGAGCACAGGGCCAGGTGTAGGGTGTCAGATCAGGGTGAAGGAGTGGCCAGGAGCTGCCAGACCCACACTTTTGAGCCCTGGCATGCCCCGGTCTTCAAGGAAAGGCAGCTACCTCACTCTGTACCATGCAATTCCAAACCTGAACCTGGGTCAATGCTACAACACAAACCAGGGTTTTGGGAAACAGAGAGCACTCAAATCTCACTCTTTACAGAATCCTCTCTTCTCTTTGCAGCTCAGCACACACCACTCCTGCGTCTGCCTGGCCAGGACTACCTATACTCTGCCGCTGTGCACTCGCTCGTGCTGCAGGAGAATTTTAAGTTGTTGCTAGGCTGCACAAAGCAGTCTCTTATTTTTATCGCATGCCTGTTTATTCTTGCAAAAAAAGATACAGCAAACAGCAATCCAAGGCATCCTCAAAATGCTTGTTACACTCTGCTTGGCTCCATTTTCTCACCAGGCAGACCAAAGCTTCTTGGCCATCACCATACACACCTTTCCACCCAGACAGACCTTTCCTTGCTCCTCCAGAGTACCATGTGAAAGCATGAGCAGAGAACCAAAACTCACATTGCAAACAATTTTTCAGTTATTCAAAATAAAGTTCAAGTAATATTAAAAAGGTTATTCAGAGTAATTTCAAACCTATTTCCTAATGGCTTAGTACAGCCGAGCAGCTGATTCGCAGCAGTCAGCATGCTAAACCATTCCCACTTCAGCAGGAAACATCCCCCTGCAACTTAGCACTTATTTCTGCACCCCTGGCATTTACCAGTACATCATTTTACAGCTGCCATTCCCCTCCTCGGCATGCCATGTTAACACTTCCATTGACAGGGAATTCCGCCGGGTCAGCGCAGACATGAGACAGGGCAGGATCAGCTGTGGTGCCTGGTGGGGCCGGGAGTGAAGCAGATTGCTGCTCCCGAAGTGGGTGGCACAGCAGGAGCAAACCACCATGGCCAGGCCCTGTCCCACCAGGACAGCCAAGTGTCACCCATAGTTCAGTATCCTCCCAGGAGAGCCGCCTGCTTTTTGCTCCTTGCCCTGCTGTGCCACATCCAGAGCTGGAGTAACTCCACACTCCTGTTACAAAATTACATGTCCCATCATGACAGCAACATACAGGCTATTTAACCCAAAAGAAGGGCCCTTATTACTTGCTAGGCTCAGCATTTGTCCCTTCTTGACACTGAGTGAACCTCCTGCTCCTAAAGAAACTTTTCAAATGGAATCTTTTACAGCTTTACATAAAGCTCTGAAAGGCCTGTCTTCTGGAGTGACCATGTGGCTCTATTCTGACCTCATGTTTTTCTGCCACTCACACATTACTTAAGCATCAGCACACAGCTGGAGACAAAAGACCAACCTCATGCTGACAGGCACCTTTCCATTCAATGGTAAGCCCTGGCACTCGTCCTGACAGCCCTGCTGCAGCAGTATTCACCTGGCATTAGGTATTAGCACGTCTCTTGCTCTGTCAGGAGCTGGAGGCAATTACCCTCCATGCTGTCACCAGCCAGCATAGCACTGGGGACATGTTTTCACCTGTCTAGGCAGCAGCACCACCAGTCCCCAAGTTCATGACTTTGTTGGGCACCGCCATGCTGGTGTCACCGTCCAAAGTCTCTGCCATGTGTGTGCAGAACTGGGGCTCAGCCACACACGAGGCCACTGTTTCAAGAAGCAGCTTGCTCTGCTTGCAGTTCACAAGCTGCCCCTGTTCAGCAGCTCAGCCCAATCCTTCCCTCTCACTGCTTCACAGCCTCAGCATCTATCCCCAGAATGGCACTCGACTTGAAATGACTCCTAATAATCAACAACAGAACTAAAAGGGAACTACAGAAGGAACATCAGCTGAAGTTGGGCGTTTCTAATTGACTCAAATTAACTTCACATCATCTGCACCTTCTGGTGCTCTGGCTAAGCCCTAAGTTGTTTCTTAAGGGAATTTTTAAGAAAGATTTGTTGGTGGTGCTTTTTCCCCACCTACAACTAACCCTCTTTTAACAGCAACACTGAGCCCCAAGGATTTCAGTACGAAATTCTGCAAAAAGACATCAGCCAAGAATAAGCCTTAAATAATAACCAGGAATTATTTTTTCCTCTAGAGAAGCCAAGGCATCAATTTCCCATATCTATGAAAGCTGAGCAAAAAAACCCCCTGAAACTCAAGAGGAGCTCAGAAGAAAGGTAATGCTCCTACGAGTGCACAGCAACAGCAGCCCAAGCCTCCCTTGTGAGCATCCCATCAGCAAGGGGCTTTCAGGAGATGTGCTGTGAGGGGCTGTGACTGTTCTGCAACCTACTGCTCACCTGACTGCACTGCCAAAGGAGCCCAAACTTACCTTTACAATGGTGACTCCTGTTGGCCACTCTCTCTCCCTTCTAAGCACACTAACACTAATCATTAGCGGTGTTTTTTCCCTGCCGTGGTTGAGGCAGCGTTAATTGCCTCCCAAATCGCTGTCACTAATTAGTCTCAGTGCCTTTACTAAACCAAAACTGGGTGGCATATTGTTCGCACTCATCCTGGACATTGAGCAAACAGTTTCTAGCACACTTGTAGTGAGCAGATGCCTTCTGCCATGAATAAACACAGGTTTTGACTTCACATCAGCTCTTCAGAGCTGGCAGAACGCAACAGCAGAAAGTCAGTCACAGACACAGAGCATTACGGCAACTGCAGAGCAGCAAATGAGATCCTGCTGCCTCACACATCATCAGGTAAGTTCAGGTGCTAGAAATTTAATGGCCAAAATGTTTTAATGGCCAAAACACAGATGAGCAGATGCAGGGACGACTCTGGTTTCCTGCTACAGGGTCTAAGAGCATTTGGAAAAGTTACAGCTGAACTTGAGGAGAATGCTCACAAAGTCACCAGCAATGCTGCTTTAATATCAGTGCATTACTAAGAGCCTGGCAGGAGCCAGTCTGACAGTCTGCAAGCTGTGTTAAGGCTGTAGCAAAATATAATGTGAGAAATGAATGTAAAGTCAATGAAGAGATGCTTTTCCTGTAAGATTTTGAAACGTGTGCTGGTGAGGTACCTGTGAAAAAATCTGGTATGAGTGAGCAACCCAGGAGAAGGCTCCTGCACCCACAGCAGTGAGAAGACGTCATGCCACAAGCAAATGAAGCAGGGGACTGCAGATAGGAAACTCATGAGCAGCAGCCTGGAGCTCTGCCACCGTGGGGCTTTAAAATCTAGCAGTTCATAAGGTCTTTGCTGTGTAACTAAATAGCTCCTGTAAATAGCTTAAGGGCTTATTGATACACAAGATGTCCCTCCCGTCAGGCCATCCTGCCAGGCTGCGCAAGAGTCCCGGCCTTAAGGACAGACGGACGAAGTGGCCGACAGAGAGACCTGGCACTGCCCTAACAAACATATACACGCTCCCCAGATAATGCTCGTCTCACTGGAGTGCTCTGCAAAGCCCACACCCACACTTACTTACAGCCTGAGTTACTGCTAATCAGAAATTCAATGGCATCTGAAGGAGCAGCAGCAGCAGCACACTGAAATAAAGGGGTTTGTCACCACATTCAGACAGACTTCAAAAGGCCCATTTGTAAAACTCACGTGCGTTTCTGTGCAGTTAACCCACTCACTGATGCAAAGAGTCTTCAGCATCCAGTTCCCACAGCTATCCCCTGAGGCCCGAATATATAAATCCCCCATGAATTAGCTTTATATGAAAGGCCTATTTTAACTTCAGAAGCCTCCACTAAACAGCCCCCTCCACTGTACAAGCTGTAAGCAACCTCTTTTTCCTGTGACACCTTCATGGGCACAGGGCTCACACCTGGCAGCCAAAAGGTGCTCTCCCTCCTCTGACCCCAGTTAGAGCTTCAGCAGGTGCTTGGACCTCCTGTAATTCCCAGTATCACTGACTTGGCTGTAAGTGCTGCCATGGCAGGCAGCTGCCATGGTCTCTCCCGGCTCCCAGGACGGCGTGGGTGTGCCATGGGTGTCACAGTGGAAGGATGATCACCCCCCTCACTGCCCTGTCGGTGCGGGGGTGCCACGCACACAGAGCCCCCGGGGCTGAACAGCCAGCACAGAGACGGCCACGGCAGCACTGCTGAGTTACACCAACTGGGGCTGCTGGCCAAGAGAGTCCAGGGCACCTGTAGCCGTGGATGCTCCGGGGAGGAGGATCCCCCTCATCATCTCCTAGGGCATCACCCAAGCATTCTCCTGCCTTCCTCTCCCAGTTCTGCAATAATGAACAGCCCACCAGCCCTTCACCCCTGCGCTTCTGACCCGGACCAAGCACCCAGGGGACTCACACCCAGCCCCTCTCCTTGGGATGGTCCCGCTGAGCTCTCACTTCGTCCCTGACCCGGGGGGCTGGTGTTCCCCAAACCCGACACTCACGGGAGATATCTCCCGCCTCCTTGCAGCCTCCCGACTCCCACGCCACACGGTGTCCCACAAGGTTCCCGCCTGCCGAAACCACAGGAACCGCACTCCCGCTTCCCGAGCCGGGCCAGCGGCTCCCGAAGGGAACACGGGACGGACCGTGAGCGGCACAGCCGGGCTGTCCCAGCGCACCGGGCTGCTGCTCCGGCACAAACCCAGCCTGGTGCCGGCAGGAACGCCCCGCTGCCGGCGAGGGCAGCGCTGCCCAGACCCGGCACCCCCGGCCCCGCCGCCCCCGCCGGCCCGGCCCACCTGCAGCCGCTGGAGGTACGAGGCCGGCGCGTAGCCCGTCTCGCCGGAGCCGGCGCGGGTGACGAGCCACCAGTGCTGGTTGCTGCGCTCCAGCAGCAGGAAGGTCTCCCCGGCGGTGAAGGGCAGCGAGTTGGGCTCGGCGGAGCGGAAGCTGTACAGGGCCCGGTACATGGTGCCGGTGGCGGCCGCGGCCCCGCCGCCCCTCCGCCCGTCGGACCGGACCGGCCCCGCCCCCGCGCCCCGCCCCTCACGTCGCAGACAAGCCCCGCCCCCGACAAGCCCCGCCCAGCGGAACCCCGCCCCCTGCAGCTCCGTACCGCCCCCTGGCGGCGCCGCTCCCGCCGTCGCCTGTCCCAGCCCCGCCCCCGAAACCGCGTGCCGGCAGGGGGCGCCAACGGCCCGCGCAGCGCCGGGGGATTGGCGGGACAGACCGGGAGTGACCCCGGGAGTGACCCCGGGAGTGACCCGGGACCGACCCCTGCAGCGACCTCGGCACCGACTGGGGACTGACCCAGGGACCGACCCAAGGACCGACCCAAGGACCGACCCCCGGGACTGACCCTCGGGACTGACACCCGGGGACGGGCTGCCGGAGGCTCCATTAGGCACTGCCGCTTCCCCGGCGCCGGCCCGTTTGCGTCCTGGTGTCCCTCCTCCATCACGCTGGGTCCCGGGTCACCGCTGGGTCCCGGAGTCGCTGCTCCCGCCTCCCGCCCATCGCCCACCCGCCCCCAGCCCCCCTGACCCCGCCGTGCCCCGGTGGCCGCAGGACCATCGCTTCGCCTCCAAACCCCCTGTCCCCGCCACGCCCCGGCGGTGCCCCCCAGCAGCCCCTCCTCTGAGAGTCCCGCACGGCACTAACCAGCACCATTACATCCCCAAATTCCCCCCTGGGCACCACGGGGGCTTCACCTGGCAAGCCACCCGGGGCCAGTCCCTTCCCCCAGAACAGGAACAGGGCACGGCCAGGGCAGGCTCTGGCCCCATGCTGTGCCTGCAGCGGACACGGTGGCCTGGCACAGGGCCGTGGGACAGGGCATGCCGGGCCAGGAGCACTGAGAAGACTCAGATGTCCCCAGCCCCGTCCATCTCTTCTTTGATGCAGTATTCCAGGAGAACAACTGTTTGGGCCACTATCCCAAGCAGCCCAAGACCCCTGCAAGCCCCCCTCCCCAGACATCAGGAGCTTCCCTTGGGCTTCACTGTCCCTGCAGGGTGTCTGAGTCCTTCCTGCTGCTCTGGGGAGGTGAGTGGCAGCCCTGCAGCACACCACACACCCCCCTTACCACCCTCGCCCCCTTCTTCCCAAGCTAGGCCTTTCTCCATGCTGTCCCAGGAACAAGAGGAATTTTCCACCTGGCAAAGCCAGCACGGAGAGCCCAGCATGGGGCTGTCAGCACCAAGGCAGGTGGGGGCTGGTTACAGCATCCTGGCAGGGCTGGTACACACGCTCCTGCAACCAAGGCCACCACAAAGACACCCCTCACCCATCCTGCTCACCCCCACCCATCCTGCTGGGATGCAAGGATGGAGGGATGCAGGGATGGAGGGATGCAAGGATGGAATGGTCCATAGACCCCTGCTCACAGTGAAAGGGGAGTTTAATTCATCCAGAAACCATCCACAAACAGATCCAGTCTGTGGTTATATAACAAAAGCTAGGCTTGCAGTGGCCACAGCCTCCTGCCTGCTTCCAGCATGGCCCTTCCAGCCCCCCGCTTTTCCCAGCTCTGCCGGTGAGGTAATCCTGGCTGAGCCTGGTTACCGTGATGGAGGGTGGAGTAGGAGTGAGCGGTTGCCTAGGCTCCCCCTCTGCGGCGGTGCCGGGAATCACTGCTGGGAGCTGAAGCTGGGCACATTTGGACTGGAAAGGCGATGAGGGGCTGCTTTGATTGGGAACTGTGACATGCAACTGGGGCTGAATCCTTCAGGAGGCTTTCGGGGTCTGAGCTCCCTACCTGGTCGCAGTCCCTTCCAGATGCCTGGCAGGACATGGAGTGATGGTGGGCAAGGGGTGGGCAAGGGGTGGGCAGCCGTGGAGCAGCACTGTGGGAAGGAAAACCTTCCTGCTTGTGGGTCATTACTCTTGGTATTACCCATATCCCACAAGGCCATGATTCCCCACCTGCCCGTTCTGTGCCCGGTTTGGCTGCAGTATTTACCCTGCCTCAGAGTCCACTCGTAGCTGTGTCCCCACTCCAGGTGGGGCCACTCCCTGGCACATGCTCAGCTGCTGTTTTTGCTGGAATAACGGCACTTTGTTTCCTCGAAGTCAGCAGCACAGGCTGTGCTGGCAGGCAGAGGCAGCTGAGGGGGATGCAGGCACCCACCTCCCACGCACACGGCAGCAGCACCCCGGCCTCTCCCTCTGCTCTGCACAGCATCCCAGCTCTGCCAGACAGTGGCCAGGAAGGAGCCTGGATTTCCTCTGCAAGGGCTCCTGCAAACCCTTCTGCAGCTGGGTAGAATGCAGAGCCCAACACAGATTCCTGCTGCTCAGGAATCGGCTTTGAATTGTAAGTGCTGGGTGATTTGTATTGGACAGGGAGGGGCAACAAGCAAGGATCCCGCTGCATCACTTGCAGGTGACTTTTAAAGATGAACTTGAGACCTCAGGTAATAAACTTGCATCCCTTGCCCTCAGAGCCGTGGGGACCAGGATCACTGTAAGCTGCGAAGGGCTCTGTGTGTGCACGGCAGCCCCCACACTCCTGTTTTCCTCAAGGGCTGTGGAGGGGAAGAGTTGCACAACAGCTCTCATATGATTGGAACACAAACTTGCCAGCTCCACGTACACTTATATAATTCTGCACTGCCTGCTTGCCAAAACGTTGAAAAACAGCAGCAGGATCAATCGCTCTACTTTTAGGTATACAAATATTATTGTACTCCCACCAGCCCTCTCTGGGTGCAAAGTAATAGGGCATGTGAGGTGCTGTGAGGACCCTGAACCCACAGCTCCTGGCACAACACCGTCAGCATGTCCTGCAGGGATTGGCGCTGTCCATGAGCAGGATGGCCAGGCATTGGGATATCTCTTGGGCATGTCTCTATCTCCCAATATCCTGACAGTCCTCCCTTCCCGGAAAATCTCATCAAAAGGCTGTCGAGAAGACCCCCCGATGCACACACCAACATCAATTGCAGAACGTCTCACTCCTCCAACTACATCTGCTCCCTTATGGGAGAAGCCCCCAAACCAGTGCTGCCTGCCACCAGCAGGGAAGGGTGCTCCGCCAGGCAGGAGCAAACCCTGCTGCTGCCTCTTGCAAGGAACACAGTGATCCATGCTAAATTCAAAAACACCAGAGAGGGGCTGCTCTTTTGGCAGCTGCTTCCCCGTGGAGCACAACACGTGGAGGAGCCGAAGCCGTCGGGGTGGTGGGTGGCTCTGGGACCCGCTCCGCTCCGCCGCCCGCAGCGCCGGGGTGTCCGCAGGGCTGCTTGCGCAACCCGCCCTCCACAAAGCCGGGACTGGCTGGGGCCCAGGCCCCTCCTGCGGCCGCAGGAAGGAGCAGCCAGCGCCTGCCAACAGCTGTGCTTCCTGGAAATGAAGAAGACAGAAGGTCGGGAGAGTTGAGGGGTAGCGGAGGGGGGCCTGGGGGATGCTGCGGGAAGGATTGAGGCACTGCAGGTTGCAAGGCGAGCCGCACACAGCCCAGCCTGCTCTGCAGCTCTGCTTTGGGAAAACAAGCTCTTTGCTTTCACACAGCAGCACCCTGTTCTTCGTTAAGCTCTGCTCGTGTCCTGACCTGATGAGCCACTTGCCAGCCCACGCACTCTGCCTGCTGGCATGGCCCCTTCCCAGCTCTCCTCCCCCGGGGCAGCTCTGCAGGCTGTGGTAACAGCCTGGTCAAGGGAATGCTGCTTTTACTGCCATCAGCCTGGTAGCCAGGCTCCCTACCACACCTTGCCTGTGGTTAAAAACCTGGGTGTGGGCAGAAGGCATTTGCAGGATGAGGGAAGAGAAGGGGGTCGGGGGTAAGGTGCTTGGCAATGAGAGCACAGGGTGCCCCACGATATGCAGCACCGTGTCTGGGCTCCCCACGCTGTCCTTCCAGCTGCAGGGCTGCCAGGGTGAAGGAGACACTCCTGGGTTCACGTCTCCAACCAAGCCAGTGCTGCCTTGCCCAACCCCACCCTTCTCATGTCCTTCTGCTGTTTAATGTGTTGGCCTGGGAAGAGCTACAAAGTGAGGGGTTGTCTGGGGAGCAGCAGCAGATCCTGGTCCTGTAGGCTGGAGGAGCTCCTCTGCTGGAGGAGCTCCTCCCTTTCACAGAGAAACTGAAAAGATTCCACAGGGTCAACAAGGCCTGTCCCAGCTTGGCGGTGGAGACATTGCTGTGGTGCAAACCCAAGAAAAAGAAGAGGACAGAACCCATCACCCCATCTGGAGCTGGCAGCCTGGCATGGCAGGCACCAGCCTCCATCGTGTGAGGCTGCTGCCAACGTCACCCTTTGCTGCCCACACAGTTTGTGGGGCAGAGGGGATGGGGACTGTGTCCCTGTTTTCATCTCTTGCCTGAGGGGGAGCCCTGGGCGGGCGGGTGGGTGCAGCAGGCCCTGGTGGGCAGGTGAGGAGTGCTGGGACAGGGATCCCCACTGAAGGAACAGGGTGCTCGGTATGGTGTGGGCTGTCTCCAGGCACCCCCACCAGAGTCTCCTCTGCTCTCATCCAGGTGGTGAGTTTCAGGCTTCGAGCAAAGGCCAGCGAGAGGCAGCTGGGAGAGGCCCCTTAGCAAGCTCTCATTTCCATACAATTGAGGGAAGGTGGCTTTGCCCCGGCACTCCCAGCCAGGGCCATAAGACATTCATTGTCCCCTCTGCCCTGCTCTGCGTGACTCCAAGGCTGGGGCACCACTGCAGCTGGCCACATGGCAGCACAAGACCCATGCCAAGGATAGATTCCTGCATGGGATGGACAGACAGCAGCCCTCAGTCCTGCTACGGCATCACCATAGAAGAAGATTAAAACTAGTTTAATTAGTGTCCAGTTGCACAAATTGAGCCCATCACCATTAGACACAGGGAAGGTACAGCTGGTGGGACACACACAGCACCCGCTGTCCCTGGGGCAGTGAGTGGCACAGGGTCCCTCTGCCCTTGCACACTGAGAGCCACTGTGTCCCCACAGGCTCAGGGTAGCAGAACGTGCCCTGTGCCTCGCTGGGGTTGAGGCACTTTGCAGCCCAGGGGCCATGGGGTGAACCACTC